ATCTGAAGGTGCAACTCTTAGCTTAACACTGGACACCAACAAAAGTTAAAATTTTTAGTGACCGAATTAGTCAGTGATTTTAAAGAAAATAATTAAGTTTTACACTCCTGTTCAGGTAGCATTTGTTTGTGTTTTAGTCTGATCTTGACTGTTCCACTGCTGAACAGTTTTCCAAAATTTCAGTCATTGATGGAAAAAAGTAACAAATAATTCCTTGCAACTTCTGAGCCAAGCTGTAACCAAGAGCTGCTGAACTCCAGGTAAGAATAAGAAGTGCTGTTATGCAGATTGAAACAAAAATGACGAAAAATATGACAGCACTGAGCAGAGAGACGGCAATCATCAGTAATGTTCCTTCCACTAATGCAAATCCAAAGATTGTGAAGACGAAGCTGTATAGCACGAATGAAACAAACAGCACAATAGGCAAAGCCGACAGACCTGCAAAGACTGTTAAGAACAAGGTGGCCATGGGGTATTCCATAACAAAAGCAAGCACTGGCGCCACAACAACACCAATGTTAGTATCCTTCCATTTCTGGAAAATACGTAAACTCAAGTCTCCTCGTCTATTGACTTCTTGTGCCATGTTTTCCTGAGGAAAGGACTCAACAGTTAATATTCGATCAAAATTTATCAGAAATGCAAGTACCAGTTTAGATGTAGTCCCTCTTTTGCTTAGTTCATCATGCATGACGCAAAAGAAAACTGAGAAAAAAATTTTGAGTGGCCATTTCTTTCTCGCAGTTTTCTTTTGTGTAATGCGCAACGGATGAAGCGAAAGAGGGACTACTTGTAGTCTAGTACCAGTTTGACATTCCCAGTTTCATATAATCTTGAACATTTTGCGAAAGAGCACAACCACCATCCATCAGATGTATTAAATCTACAGTCAGTGTAAAAGGCAGACTACAGACTTGAAACTGGGGGTAAAATAATAATTGAAACTATGTCACAGGTCTTTCACTGGCAAACCTTTGGAAACTGCTCATAGATTCTACGCTGGCACACCTCAAGTACTGAAACTTTTTTAGTTACCCAGAAATTAGATTCAAACACCCTCAATGCTCATAATCAATCACTTTAGAGTTACAGGGTCTTTGGCCCAGTCCCTGAAACCAGGTTTAATAAATAGATTTAGCCAAGCCTAAAAGTGGAGCTCCTCATTGCAATAAGTTAACCATAAAGGAAAACAGGATTTGTTTTTCTTGGATCAGAAACTCAAAAAAAGATCAATCGTGAGCATTGCTCAGCGTGTGGCTTCACTATTTTTTCCGGTTAAAACTTAACATACTATACCCAATAATGGTACCCATTGTTCCAAGATTGTGGAAATTACATACCCAATAAATCAGGGATTTTCTAAGAGACGACTGTGCAAGGAATATCTGTGAAGAAAAGTCAACGATGGGACAGGGGTTAATTCCCACCGCAATTTTGCCTTTGCATGTACCCCCGCCTTCTCCTCCAGAGTAAAAAACTGGCTTGAGCCTGCAATCCAATCAAAAACCAGCACATAGGCAGCGGCAAATTTTAAAACGACATACAACCTTGATGAGCTCTAAACCTGAGCCCGTAAAATAGTCAAGTTGACACCTTGTTTTAACAGCTGTCAATTAACCATAACATGGATGTCCAATATCAAAGACATACCTATGGTAACAGCACTACTCTCTTATTTTTCCAAGGTATGGGGCTTAGCTCATGCGCGCGCAGTGCAAGTGGCGTATGGACGTACATATGGACAGATACACAGAGAGTCACATGACAACTGAAATTTTTTAGATTGATGGGTTACCAAATTTTCTAAGGTATGGGGCTCCGCTCCCATGCCTTCGGCACGCAGGAGCTGTGCTATTATGGTTGTATACCTGTCAGCTACAGTGTAATGAAGTATGGTGAATTCTCTCTTGTTTTCACCAGGTTTAATCTTCATATTGTACTGATTTACTAGTTTTCTAGTTATCTTGCATGTTTTGTCCAAACTTAAATATTGCCACATGTGTAAGTCAACCTCTGATGAGATTCGCAAATGTAAACTTTGGCAATACCAATCAACTACATCATTGGATTTGAACACTGGCATTGGGTTACTGCAATTCAAAACAGTGGTAGTTACAGTGCAAATTGCGAGAAAAGACTTGAGTGTAATGAGATGCATCCCAAGAGAAACAAGAAACGTCTTGAGAGAAATGAGACAAGTCTGATGAGACGGGGGTAACTTACTTTTGGGTGGTACTGTTCTCAAACCAGGACCACCAGAATGGCAGTATATCACTAACCGCTTACTGCTAACAGCTGAAAATATAGCTGCTATTTGTAGAAAATTATACTGAAATCAAACTGTAAATTTCAACCTCCAGATAGCATATTGCAAGTGCAAAACAATATTGTGAAAGATGCAAATATTTGAACAACTAATTCCCCGGCTAATTTACTTTAAGATGCCTGGTCTACTGTGTGCAGTTTACCCTCAGTCTGCAGTCTATGTTCTACACTGACCGACACCATATCGTAAATGAGCTTATTACTGCTTGAATAATTTCTTTTCGGCTCATAAAAGGAACGACTAGATTGTAAAATACCGGACCACTCATTTACGTCTCATTGAATTTGAATAGTTACTTTTGTTTCCATATGATTCGTTCTTAGAAGCGTTGAGGGATATGTTAATAAGTGGCCCGGTATTGCAGAATCGCTCCAAAAGAACATACTGATAGAAATATCTAAAACAAATAGCTAAACATCTTTCTCCAAGCCATCCTCAATAACAAATGAACATTATTAGTGACCTGGGCAACAAATAATAACCTTAAATAGCTAATACTGGCAAAATTAGACAAAGTTCTTGTCCGGCTTTAGTACAAGCTTATTTATTTATTTGTGCTATCACAGCCATCATGCACGGAAATACAATTTTGTGGTGAGTAACTAGTTAAAACTTTTAAATACAGTTATGGCATCGAGTGACGGGTAGTGTAGGCCTGCGATAAATTACTTACAGTTTACAGGTCTTTGGTTTTCAGCTGAGCACTTGAAAGAATCAACTCCAAAACACTGTCTTACTTTTCAGCGACAACCATTTCACAAAAACTCGAGTGTTCCACCAGCGATCTGGGTACGATATAATAAAGAGAGGAATTATGGGAAAAAACGGAGGCAGGCAACACGTGCCAAATGCATTTGAGACGATTTTGTGTCATAATTTACATGATCCCTATATCATTTATTAAACAATTCCTCCGTTATTTAGCGGCACCGATATCCAGGTGACTCCACAAAGTGAAGAAAACGAAAATAAAGAGCACTTGGGAACGAAAACATGATTTACACCATCCAAAATGTTCTGTTGATTCCCTCAATTTTTCAACGTTGGCACATCGACAAAGTACTTACGAAGAGGTATTTTAACCATTCAGCTAATCAGTTACTTGTTACTACAAGGCATTGCGATGCCTTCTATTTGAAATACTATCGCCAATTTTAGCCGTTCAGACCAGATAGTAGTAATACTGGCATGAGTGACCTTATCAATCATTTGGTGCGATTTATCCCCCATTCAGCTGTCCGGTTGGTTTGGAATGTACTGTAACGCATACATCCTTAGAGATGAAAGATGCCTACCGTGCCAAGAGAATGAACGTTAACGTGGAAAGGAAAAAAAGACCACAAAGTAGTCTTACTGTTTAATTCTTTCCCAAGAACTCACAAAGAAGAAAACACAAAATACTTGCGAAATAAATTTACGTCGTTTATTCCTATGCAGTCATTCTATAATCATACATCATCATTTCTCCACGCGTCAAAATCGAACGTAAACATTACTCAAAAATAACTAAAAAAAATTGAATCCTTGCAGGAAACCTTTTCGAAAGGACCTTTAATTTACATCACATGAAGTACCTTCTGAGAACTTCATTCAGTCAGTGTTCCTTAACTTAATTACATACGGTCTATAAACTGAAGCCCAATTCCAAAGTTGCTAGAGGAAAAGAATATTGCTAATGACCTATAAACAAATTGACACCTGTTTCAAGTAAATAGGTACAATAATTCTTGATCACCTCCATTAAAAAAAAGAAATCCAAAAAAGAAAACCATCATTGACGCTCATAAGATGAGAAAATGCAAACTCCTGTCACTAGAAGTTCTGGATTCCTTTTTCAAAACTCAAAACACGTTTTGGGAATAAATAAAAACACTTGTTATTGGCGATTATTATCCGATATCAGTTTGGCTGGGTTACAAAAAGTATGAAGTACACTACAACGTTAACCCCTCCAAAAGATAATTACACATTTGGATACTTTTTCAGCAAGATACAAGGGTTTTCAATTCCTTTTCGATTTCAAATTATTCCCTTTTTCCAGTCCTTCAGATTCTGTAACATTGATCAAATTTGAAAACATTGTAGTGCGCTGCTAAAAATATCGCGATGTAAAACCGGCTAATAAATATTCTTCATTGAAAAGGGAGCCAGCCCTTCTAATTATTTTTCACGCGTATCTTAGTAAGGTCAAAGCTATATTCACACGAGGGAACAAGCGAGTTAGATTTAAACGAGGATGAACCAAGCTCATGACACTCTTTCATTCACGACTGTCGTAAAACAAAACAATGAACCAATCAAAACTCGAAGCAAAAACGTGCAACCGGTGCCAAGCGCGGGAAAATGCACGCAAATCTAGTCGCGATTGGCTCAAGTTTTAATCCTGATTGGTTAAAAAACCCTATAATTTGATTAGCAGTAAAACATAACTTTGCTCTGACTGGCTGAAAACAACACGTTTGCTCTTTAACGGTTGAAGAACATAAATAAACGTTTACTTATTTGCTGCAGCAAGTTGTAGGATTTTCTAACTAGTTATATACATCGTACAGTGTATCTAACGCAAAACCAGGGTCAACTACTAACCAATTTACACATTTTATAAATTTATAGCAAACTAATCTGTTGTTTTTTTTCCTAGTTTTCCCGTACATTATTTGATAAAGCAGGCTAGCGCGCTAGTTTTTGGATAAAAATAAACATGGCCGCAAAAAGAGAGAAAGTAAAGTCGTGAAGACTCTTGTTTTAAATACTACGCCCTCAGCTCTAGAAGTAATTATTTGAGCAAAGTTAAATCTTCTGAGCATCTCTGCGAAGGTAACGATTACTTAACATTAAATATGAAATAGAAATTTGACACTAAAAAACAACCGAATGCTCTTTTTGACATACACCACCTTCAGCTATGTACAATATTAAATCTGTACTATATAATCGGTTTCTTTTGGTAGCAACCTTGTTATTTGCCTGTTAAATAGATTCCATTTTCTTTTGTACCTAAATATCTTAATACTTACCTATAATAAAATTTGTTGCTATTTCCACGACGGATTCACCCATCTTGTTTCAAAAACGGAGACACACTAAACAGAAATATGGCGATGCAGCAAACAATTTTTGCGACCTGATCTGTCACTTGACTTCTCACTTGGCATAATTTCTAACACCGGTGCTATGCCAGTTTTGTCAATTCCACGGAAACGAAATTCTGGTTGTGACGGGACATTGCTTATCACATGAATGAAACCTGCTAAACTAGATTGCAAATCCAACTGAGCACAGCACAGATGTTAACTCGTGCGCTGTGTAAAATCTAACACACATCTTTGGCGTGACGTTTGAAATTCTAACAGCATACAGGTTCTCCTAGCTGGTTTCCTCTCTTTTACCAGCTACGAGAATTTCTTGACGCATGAACAAAATTTCTACCTTTTCATGATCCGCACGTCTCTCTTTTTGTTTGACTGACAGTGTTTGACGCACGTTTTGGAGTTTTCAAGGAAAAAATAAAACGCCGATGAGATTTGGGAGTCACATGATGACAATATAAGAATTCGCTCTTGTCACACACTCGTAAAATAACCCGAAGAAGACGCAGCCAAAGCCTCTGAGCGCAACCTGAGGTAAAGCTTGCCTCGTCTCCACGGATTTTGAAGTTGTAGTGGTTTAAAATCGTCTCTAAAACACTTTTCTTGACCGCCTATTACCGCCACCAAACACAAGTCTTTAATTTTCTGCTCGGAGAGATTGTGCCAACGTGCAGATTTGTCTCTATCTTGGCACTTCTTGTGAAGTTGTTGCACAACCATTTTGACAACTTCACCCGCTCTTGTGCTGGGCGTTATGTGAAGCTACAACAACAAAGAAATAAAACACATAACGGTTAATTCAAGAGTTAGGTAACCCTTCTCAGTGGTTTTCCCGCGCTAAAATCCAAAATGGCGGATGGTCTTCAGTGATCAGCCGACATATTTGATTGCTCGCGGAGAAGTCACCAGCGGCTGGGGACAAGTTTGAGACAAGGCACAGGCTGATAGAATCTTTGTGCCACGAAAAAAAGTAAAATGCAAACTTGCCTTCCAGTTCCTGATCAGGATAAACAGCCCGGGTCAACTTTTACGCAAAGAAATAGAGAGCGAATAATCTAACTGTTTTAGTATTAAATCCACTAGCCAAAACTTAATTGGAAAACTAGCTTCGAAAACGCAAAGAAGCGGCCGCCATTTTGTTAACAACCGCACACTGCTAGGCTATTCACTATCATCAACAGGGTAGATAGTGAGTAGCGTGGCCAATCAGAGAACGACATTCGTGGTAGAACGCTTGTATATTTATACTAATACGGAACATAACATTTCTGAAAGGTATACAATACTACATTGGAAAACAACAACAAATTGATGTTTTTTCTCCAATATTTTGATAGAAGAGCTCAATGTTGACTGGTTTTCCAACCCTCTTTTTCCATTTTCCATTTTTAGTGATGTTAACTGATATTACCGTACCGTCACTGTGGCTCCAGGGGGGAGACTGGTCTCTCCTGCTGTGTGAATTTGAACCACTCCCTCTCTAGGACTACTGCTGGGTGAAGAACCTGACGAAACATAAATCACAAATCGTGACACTCACAGCAGTACTGTGATTGGTCTTCTGAAATTTGGCAAACCCCTACAACTGGTTTTGACCAATCACAACGAAAATGTTTTCTTCTGAGCCAATCACGAGAGGAAACTAATCCAGACATGACTTGGCTCGGCGTTAAGTAAGGTTCTTAGATCAATCTTTGATTGATTTCAGTGATTACAATATTTTTGTATGCAAGATAAGGTAGCTATGCCCTTACTGTGTCCATTGCAGAGGATTTGTCCTTTCAAATCCGACGAACACACGCAACACTGGCCATCAGGATGAGAAACAGTGTATTCGAACACCTCGACCAGCGGTATTCCACCGCGGATTTGACGATCTCTGGCATAATGGAGAGCATCTAATATCCAACGCATTCCTTGCCACGTCTCGTCCAGCTCCTGTGAAAATGTCAAGTAATTTATTAGGCAACACAAAATTACGAAAAAACAATAAACGCAAATTCGAAATGGTTGGCAAGTTGGAATAGAACGTTGTGAACGTTGATTCAAGCGTGACTCAAACTTAACTTTGCACTTACTTGCATCTTTTTAAGAGTGAATTTTCCCGCGCTTAGCACCGGTTGCACGTTTTTAGTTCGAGTTCTGATTGGTTCATTGCGTTATTTCCGTTCCCCGTGATTGGCCATTTGATCGGCCAGCTATGAAAGCTTTGGTTTTACGATAGTCATTTAACCAATCTCAGAATCAGGCCCAACACTAAACTTCACGTGACTTGGCCTACGCGCGTATTTCCGCGCCTGACGCCGGCTGTACGTTTTTGCTTCGCTTTTGTTATTGGTTGCACTTTTACCTGAAGACAGTAACTGCAAAAGCATATGTTTAAAGAGAGCTTGTACCTAGCTTGTCAACTCACCCGCTGGAAGTCTAACAGCTGCTCTTGTCGTGCTTTTGCTAACTGTACCTCGGGTGAGGAGAAGGCCTTGATGGATGAAAGAGAACAAATTGTTTCAAAGTGACTTCGGAACCTAGTTTAAAAAAGTTAAAATATTGACAAACGAATGAACGAGACACAGGAACAGGTTAAAACAACAACAACTCAAGAACGTTTTTATAGCTGTTTTCGTGTTCATTTTTCTTCAGCCACTTTAATCAAGTATTTGCCATGTTGTACTTTTAGAACCGAAGAATCATAGGACAAAGTAATTAAGAAGCCTGTTTGACTATACGACATGCCTTTTGACTTGAATTGCCGACCCTGTCCAGTACAGAAAACAAAACCAACTGACCTCTCTAAGCGACTGCTGTGATATGACAGAGTCCATATCGAGAACAGACGACAGACGAGAATAATGGCAAATAAACTCTTGCTGATAGGTATACATGTGAACTGAAAAAAATAAGAAATAACACCATTAAATACTATCACAATGACTGCCAGCGTGCCTACTCGCGCTCAGTCACATTGCTATATCCGGACTCTAAGGTAGGAACCCTTTAAAACTTCGCTAATCATAAGTATCTTTTTAGTATGAGCAAAGATAATTTAATCGAATTCCTTTCCTTTCTCGGTGTCTCTATCGAAATGTAGAAATAATCATGAATGTCCAGGAGGACTCGAAAGAAAGCTGTGGAAACACACTCCTACGGTTCGTAATCGCAAAGCCTTTCTCGTTCTCTCGTGCCTTCGGCCTCATCAACTATCACCTCATAGAGATCTCGAGCTCATAGTCTAATTGTTTTAGTAGAATTCTAACTGAAATTTAGTTCGATTGATGTATTATTAAACTTTGCGCCTTAGAAAGATCGCTCTGACTGAATTGCCATTTGAAATTGCAGTTGTGTCCGCGCGCGCATCATTTTTTCAATAATTTCAGGTTTTTTAAGTCAAGAAATCGCAAATGTCCTTCTTTAAGTCTTCTCGGAAATTTAATTATCCGTTTGCATCAAAATGTTCTTTAACACATTGGAAAAACGAAAAAAAGCGTCGCCATTACGTGGACAACCTCCACCCACTGCACACTAATGGCTGATAATGTACGGCCACTCAGCCAATCAAATTGCAGCATTTGCATTAGTGTACTAGTAGAATTCTACTGAAACTTGATAGAAACACGAAAATGGTTTATTTCTTAAATATAGCATCCAATGGCTACTTACTCATTTCAAACGTTTGTACAGATAGAGATATGTAGCCCTTCTGATGAGTGAGAGAGTCCACTTGTCCCGGGGCGCTACACACTTCCTCAGGGGGCGGGAACACAATGATAAATGACACATTCTCATCTAGTTCCACCACCTCTCGGTCATATATTCTGTGAAGTTTTGACGCCTAGCAAAGACAAAGAAATCTCGTGAGACAACGCAGAAAATGAAAAAGTTCTGAACGACAATTTTCTGTAGCTTGAAGCTGTCAGTAACATTGATATTCTCCCTACATGGAATGCTAGTCTATCACAAGTTGCCCCTAGCATTTTGCTATTGCCGTGTTACCCTTCTATTCCGCTGAGTGGAGGAAGTTATTATGAGAGTAAGCTGTCTTGCCCGAGAACAAAACACAGTGACCCCTGGCCCTGCACTGTGCCCTGGGTCAGTTTCAGATAGTACTGTGGATTTGATGCCTGCTAAGTATTTGTTTTGCTTGTTTTCTGCGTGTACAAGTAGTGTGCTCCAAATAAACTTTCAAGTTATAATATCAGCTACCCAACTTGGTTTAGTTGGTTTTCAATTTTACAGTTATCCTCTGTGGCTTTTTAAAAATTTGAGGCAAAAAATCCAATGCCTGTGTGTTTCCATTAACACACTCACTGTTACAGTGCTGTACCTAAAGATAAAATAATAGGACTACCTCTTTATTAACTCCAACTTTCTCCATCAAGGTTTCGGCTGCTTTGGCCACAAGCACTTGAAATTCATGCGCAGTCTTCGACGGCTCCTGAGTGTCCTCCTGTACAAACAATAAAAATAGTAATAATAAAAATAATGGTTGTCAACACATAAACACTTAAGTGGTAAACTATGGAGAGTGATCCATGAGAAGAGCAAAACCTTACCTTTAGAGAGTCTAGTGTTTGAAGCCATTGCCATTCCTCTCTGAAATGGAAATCGTTTAGCAAAATCAGTTAGGATAAAGTCGGTTCTGAAAAGGACTGTTACTGTTTCCTGACGTTTTGACAACCTGAGTGAAAGACTAGAGTTGACCTGGTTCAACTCAGGTTGTATCAACGTTGGTCACCAGCTACATCTCTTTTTCAGATTACCTTCTCCCAGACGACCGAAGAAGACGAACTAAAATCAAATTGATTAGAAAGAGTTACTTTCAAAAAATAACATGTAAATCACACATTCATTTTGCTTACCTGGACACATTAGGGTTATCTCGTAATTTGACATGCGGCAGGACGTTTGGACAGTTCTCTTGTACCACAACATGAATAGCATCAACAAAGGTTCTGAGCTTCAAATAACCAATGTATAAACCCCTAAATACACATGTAAAAGGAGAAGACATACAGGTAAGGTTCCCTTACTTGCAGGGCTGTTATCTTTAGTGTCCTTTACTGTCAGGTTTTTTTGGTCAATTAATCATCAATGATCAAACAGCCGCAACTGCATGATTGCGACAGACATCAGTTTTTAAAACTTTTCTGATAAACGTCAGACTTTCCTGATTAAATAAATATAAAATCTCAAATAATAGGTAAAAGGACATACAATCAACTCTATTAAAGCGGAAAACAAAGTATGGTGGGCGCTTAATTACACAGACATCATAGCTGTCTCACTGGTCCTGACTAAATATCACATCTTTCTCTGCAATTGAACTTTCTTCAAGGCAGACACCTCTCTAAAGTGGACAGCAGGAGCGGCTACAGAAGATGTCCTTTTTAGAGGGTTACTTATTTTTGTCAATACACTTTTCTGACTTGAAAGTTAATTCATTAAGCTAGTAAAGTCCATCAAGCAAGAAAAGAAGAAAAGGATGATGCATGACTCATTCTAAAATATATCCCGGGACTTCACTTTATATAGTAGAAGTCTACAGTTTACTCGTACAAGACATACAACCGTCCTTTCCACCCATTTATTCATGTCCAATGACATGTAAGTGAATTGGCAATATAAAATCAGTGTTGTTAAAATTTCAATTTTCCCTGATCCTGAAGGACTTGTCTGTTAACATTTCCTAACCTGCACCAGCCGTGATGTTTCTAGTGCAAACTCTTACCTTTCAAGGCTTTTTTTACTGTTTTCATAGTAATGGATCTTTTCCTAAAGATGAAATATAGATCAAACTTTATTCACTAAGGGTACATTAATGACGGTAAAGAGCAACGTAAACCATAAACATTACATAAATTAAATAATCTTGTGATGTCTTACAGTCAGATAATTTAACACTAACGAACATTTCTTGTTTCAAATCCCCACAACATTCAATTCCTAGAGGTTTGTCATGACATAACAAAACAGTTGCTAGTGATGTCTACTAGCTTTCCGTCTTACCTGAATGGAGGACACAAGCATCTCTGATGCAGAAAACAACTCTTCCTGTAATCCAGCTTGAAGCGGAGTAGTCTGAATCTTCTTCTGAAGTTTGCTCAATGACAACCACTTGAGAGACATGATACGTGGCTTAAATGAACTGGCATGCTGAACACAGTGAAATGAAAAAAAAGAAAAGAAAAACAAGAACATCCTTTAATCTCCTGGGCCAGGTTGTTTGAAAGCCAGTTAATGCTAACCCAGGATCAAAAGTAAACCGAAGTATTCCTTTTTCCTGTGTACAAATGTTTTTGACTGCTTATGTTTTGTGTAGATGGAGATTACTCCAGCCCAAAACTGTAGGACAAACAATACAAACACAGAACCTCACCGAAAAGTAACAAAACTGAAATCAAAATGCTCCCTAATCCTGGTTTAGCTTAATCAGATTTTGAACAATAAAGCCCAGCAGTAAATTCGCAGTACCTGCTTAGAACATATTTAAGAAAATGCAACTAGTGAGATCAGTAATGAAGTTCTCCCACACTGAAGGTGTCAGGTTTGACATTAGCATTCAGTGTGTGAAAACTAGTCAGAATTCAGTATATTTGCTAGTACAATTAACAATAAATTAAAAATAGGTACAATCTGCCAAGAACACAGTGAAAGGAGCGCACAAATCCCTGACCTCTCCAGTGCTCCCACCTCCTCAGATAGCCTACAATGTTTTATTGGAACATGGTTTATTGGTATCAACACAATTACACAGTATTATGATCAGCAGAGCATACTTACAATAACATTATTGACAGCAACAATCACAGTGCTACCATTTCGATCCTTGACAGGTTTATAATGCAGTCTTCCAAGATCTTGCTTTCCAAGAGCACCCTGGAAAGAATACGATCGGTTTGCGGCGAGGAATTAAATACTTGAAAAGGGTTTTATTATTGTTTATAGTGGCCCAATGAACTATTATCATTGTCATCTTCACTATTACATGTAGTTTTCATTTGGTCAGACTAAGATCCTAAACACTTAATTGTGATCTGTTAAAGACACTGCAAATAGTGTATAACCAATTAGAAATAACACACAAGGCGTTTGTGTCTACAGTGCAGTGTTATCAATACAGAATTTTCACTGCTCAATTTTCAGATGTCCTTTTTATAGAGGATAGGAAAATGAAAGATGTCAACCAGGTTGGCAGAGGCTTCCAAACATCTAGTAGTTGCACTATTTTTCTAACTTGTACATGATATTTGTGGTTGTTTCTTGTACAATCACAGCAACAACACTATCAAGCCATATTGCCATCAGTATGGCTTGAATCTTAGACAGCTTCTCTCAGCAGGGGTGAGTCATTCTAATGTTCCTTTCTAGTCCTTCCTTGCTGCTTCTCTTCTTTCTATTTTGTAATGTATAATTCATTTGCTTGATGCATGTTTTCATATGGCTGATAATTTGTGCAGTGAAAATGGATTAAATTAAAAAAACTAAATTAAAAAAAAAAACTACTCAGGCCTTTTCTTTTCTCAAGCTTTGTTTTACTGAGTTTACTTTGTCCATTGTGGCCCTTAGTACAATATTAGTAAGAGGAAAATATTTCCCAAGGCCTATGCCTCTTTTATGGTATATCCACAAGGTGGTCTGAGTGCAGCCTTTACTCTTCACCAAATTCACAAAGAAGCAGTAAAAATAAATAATTAAGAATATATTAATATGAATACCTGCAGAGAGTCAGCAGCTTGGAGTAATTTACATCTAAAGAGGACTGAAGTTGACGATGACTTTTTCTCAATTTCCTGCTTTAACTTTTTAACATCTTTCCAAGTGCATGCAACCTAAAATGATAAATTCAGTCAAAACAATTATGATCTATTAACAAATACTGGCTGACAGTTGAAGCTCACCCTGCAGTTACCTATAAGGATAACTGTTCACTTGACCCAAATGACTAAAAACAGACATGTACTCCATCACAACACTTAAGTTTGATCCATATAGATTTCTATCCCTTCTGAGAGATTTTAAATGCCAAGGCAGGGAATGTGTTGGAATAATGAGAAGTACGAGACATCACATGTTTATACAAACTCAGCGCATTTTACTAAAATCTTAGAAACGAAATAAAAACTGTTAAATCATGGTAGTTCAAGATAAAAACTGTTAATTTGATATACATATATTTTGCTCTTCAAGGCTCTTGAAGTTGTCTGCCATATATATATTTCAAGTGTATCAAGTATGAATAAAGATGTGACGTCTTGTTCTTCTTGTTAGTTTTCTTGACTGTTTCCATTGGTTCACTCTGTGATTGAAGTCTTATAGCATGTGATGACCATATCTATTAAGCAGTGCTTTCCCATGAAGCTATTTATTTTTAAAATAATATTCATTACTCAGACAGTTTAGAAAATTGTCAAATTTGCATGGTATGTTTGTGGTTTTAGGAGGAAATCTACCTTCATTAACCAGCAGAAGTCTTGAAGGAAGGTACTTGGGTGATTATCATCCACTTCAATTATGGGGATATTTTCATCCAAGGTCACGAGCAGTTTCTCATCGTCAGTGAACAACAGAGAAGCCAGGTATACACCTCTGGCAAAAAAAACAAAGTTTGCCAACCACAAATTTTAAAATAATCAATATAATTACAAAGTTCTGAAAAAACAAACAAACAAACAAACAAACAAACAAAAAAGATAATGTTTGTTTTCCAGGAGTTAACACAGAATGGTGTTAACTTCAGTTTCTGTCCAATAAAACAAATAGATGTGTGGCTTTTCCTCATGAATGGCATGCTAGTAACAAGTTACTGCTAGCATTTTGTCAGGTAGCCATAGCAATGTGCCAGTATATATTTCTATTTAGGCATAGGTGGAGAGAGATATTGTGAGAGTACACTATATACTGCCTAGGAACATTATTTTAGAAAGAAGCCCAAAGAAAATACGCACCCTGATTGGTCTTTAACACAGAACTAGTACAAGCTGTTGACGTAATGATGGCGTGAACAAAGAGAATTTACATTTTGATGATCAAAATAAACAGGTTGTTTTCTTTTTTTCATTACAGAATTTTCTGAAAGAAATAAGAAAACATGTTCTCTGTGTTTCTGTCAAGTTATAGCAACACTTGTGGAAGTTTGGAAGAACTCAAAAAAGCTGTGAAAACACTTGCCTGTCAGCTCCTGTTCTATAACTCGATAGAAACACAGTGCAAGCTTTGCGAAGATGGCACTGGACTAGAATCAAAAAAGGGGAGTGAAGGAACTTGCTCTTACCTTTTCAGATGTCTTGCAAATTTTGGGGTAGAATGGAAGAGCAGATGAGTGTATTTAGTTAGACTCTTTTTCATTGCTGATCTCCGACTTGTTCTAGGGGATACACCGCTCTCACTTGCTGTAATCACAGAAATTGAAAACATATGAAAATCACAAAGAAAGAGCAGCCCTGAAACATGATATCAGTATCAAAGCAATATTGACTTTGTCCACTTTCTAATTTCTTTACATTTTACATCTCTCATACTAGGCATAGGATCATTTCTACTCAATTAATTACTAAAAATGCACTGTTTGGTTTAAGGAAGTACTTATTCCAAAATCAGGAATGTCTTGAAATCCTTTATAATAAGCTATTCCAAAAATATGATGGATTGAAGAGGCTACTTCTTTTCAAATTTCTAAAAATTTTTAATACATCTCTCTAGAATGAATTTTATTATTATACAAGTTACATAAACCATGCATTCTATCTGCAGTATACTGATATGACTTAACATGCTGAATAATAATGATGAACTCGGAGCATAATAATGGTCATCATAAGTAAAGAAAATCACTGCATTTAAAAGCTGCTTTCCTCACCTGTCTCATTGCCAAATGTGTTACTACGTGGTCTGTGTGCTAAAACTGGTCTAACTGGTGAGAACTCTTCATGGCTTTGCCATACTCGGCCAAACAAATCATCTATGACATTTAATCGCCCTTGGAAACGAGGTTTTGAGTCATCGACCTCATGCCATGCTGTAGAATAAGATAAAAAAATGTTGTTAAAATTCATATCACAACAACATACACAACTTTATATAATTATCATAATGAGGTCTACTGAATATCATGCTACGGATGTTATGGTCATACATGTTACTATCTGATTCACTAAAAAGCCGACATCAAATTAATTGATTTGACTGAGGTTTTGGTCAGATTTTTAATAGCATGAAAATGCAGACAAACAAAACTGACCAGTAAAAACTCCTGGAGTTACTGATGCCAATCAAACATCCAAGTTGATGACTTTCATTATCTCAATTTGTACTCTCTTGTTATTGATTCATAAAATACAAAATCGATTCATAATGCGTTGTTATTCTAGACATTGTAATAATGCTGATCAGTCTAGAGAACTTAGGGAATTATGCAGGTACAAATAATATCTAGCCTTCTACATATGTTACAGGGCTAAGATGCTAGACATTCCACAAGGTATTATTACCAACAAAATACTGAAAATCTGATCAACATACTTGAGGGCATTGCACAGGGAGGACTAGATTCTAGCCATGGTCCAAAGCCTTTGAGATTTCCACAGCAAACGCGTACATAGTATAACACAGACTAGAAAAAAGCAACAACTTTATATAGTTGGTAAACACATATTAACAATGAAAAGGTAGAATAAAACTTTAAAAAGGATGGAAGAAAAAAGATAGAAAGAAACTGTGAACAAACAAGCAAACACAAAAATAAATCACTGCAGCTATAGTGTAAACTTAAGTTTATCTTGGCTAAGGAAACTGCTCTTTACACGCACCAACACGGCATCTAGATTTTGTGCGCTAGTGTTGTGAACATAACAACGTAAGAGGGATCATGTTTACCTTTTGTAAATTACATATTGTGTACTCTAGGGATCTTAAATCACGAAGAACATATTCCCCTTCTAATAACTTGAAGTCTAGGGTCTTGCTCCATTGAACTAAAACGAAGAACATACAAGTATATCACCAGCTGCCATAAATTTACAACACAGCTGCATATACAATGAATGTAACATGAAATAAACAAAGTAATGTTAATAAATTATTTTGACACCTTTATGGCCTGGTACAAGGTGAGGTCTTGAACACGCAAGGTAAAGAACTGAGGATGTACAGTGTAGCTAAGAAAAAAAACTAAGCTGGCTCATTGTTGAGCCAAACCAACCTTTCTGGCTTATCAGCTGTACCTTCAAAGTTACATGTACCCCAAGTCTTTGTTTTGATGGTGAAATTTAAACTGGGGATAAGATGTCTTTTAACCAGTGAAGTCAGCCAAAAGGATAGTATCTTGCCATCTTTACTTGCAATAAAATGAATTTTCTAATGCAATGGCTGATTAGATTTAAAAAAATATGATTAGAAATTATATTTTATACTCACTTTTATATTTAGATACAATAACTTTTTCACAAAGTGGTTCAATAAAACGAACAAGCAGTGAATCTTCAGAAGCAACTGATATTGTTACACTGCTTGGCTTGTCAGGTGGATCTGAGCAAAAAAAAAAAACAGTTATTTTGGAGTTCACAATTGCAATTTGATGTCTTTGTGAACAACTTTGGCATGATGTTGCCCATTCAGAAATCTTTACCTATTTTTGAAAGTCCTTTCTTCAGTTGTTCAAGCAAGTGTTTCCTCCATAGCCACTCTTGAAAGAACCTTTCATTTTCCTGCAGGATACATGAATGATTAATGCCATTCTATACTGTGCTATACTGTTAATAGTTCAGTCTATTACTCTTAATAGTCATTTTGCAGTCTCTCCAAGAAAATGCAGACAACAGGGAGGCTCTCATCTTCCTGATCTCAGTCCAAAATATATAACTGCTGTTAGTGGATCCAGGAGGACTTTGTCTCAATCTTGTGAAGAGCTTGCCATGAAAGAAGCTGTCAAATGAGAATCAAAAGTGCCATAGTTGCATCTAATGTGTAACTTTGTAAAAACATGTGTACCTTTACTTCAGAAGATCCAGTATCACTGACATGTACCACTGCTGTGGTTAGATCATCCACTCTCAGCTCTGCTTCCTTCAACAGCATGTTAATGTGCTTAGCAAGATAAGTACTTGGCACTGAAAGATAAGACATCAGATAATGTTTAAGCTTCCATTTTGTTTCATGTATGAAACAAAATGGGCCTAATCAAATGAGAGGAAGAAGTAGGAAGCAGGATTTCCAAGATGAGGTGATCAGGGAAACATTTAAAACATGAAACAAGCACAACACCAGCCAGAGAAGAGGCACAAGCCACTTAACCCTTTACCCCCTAAGGCGAATGGCAGTTTTTTCCAGGTCAAATAAAGACACTCTGCCCAGGGCTCGAAATTAACTTTTTTGTTCAGGAGCCAGCTGGCGACTAACGGGAAAAACTTGGTCGCCAGATCGTAAGTTTTGGTCGCCAACTTATTTTATATATAACTCACATGAGAACACTAACATGATTTTGTATGTTACTTTGCATGCAAGAAAGTCACAAATGAAGAGCTAAAACTTTTGAAAACAACACGAGTAAGACTTATAAACTGTTATAATGCTACCGTTGTTCTCAGATTATTATGGGGAGCTTAAGCACACGTGTTTTTGAGACGCGGACGGCAACCGGAAGAGAAGATTTCGCATGCTTGGACCGTATTGTCCCCCAGATTTTTATACTACTCATCTCTAATGAAGAAAAG